AGTGAACAAAAATCAATAAATAAATGTAACAAAAGGGCAAACCCTTGTAATAAATTATTTTGTTCATTTTAACCCTCATGCATATCCTAGAGCCCTTAGCAACAAAAAGAGTCCTATGATTTACTTAATCCTAATATTTAACATACACACACATGCATATCCCAGAGACATAGCAACAAAAAGAGTCCTATGATTTACTGAATCCTAATATTTAACATACACACATGCATATCCCAGAGACATAGCAACAAAAAGAGTCCTATGAGTTACTTAATCCTAATATTTAACATACACACATGCATATCCCAGAGCCCTTAGCAACAAAAAGAGTCCTATGATTTTCTTAATCCTAATATTTAACATACACACATGCATATCCTAGAGACATAGCAACAAAAAGAGTTCTATGATTTACTTAATCCTAATATTTAAGTAATTCGATGGCGAGATACCAGATATTGTGCTTCCAAAAGCACAGAGGGGTAGCCTTCGTTCCAGAACGAACGTATAGGGAGCCTCCACCATACATCCGCACTTCTCGAATGTTCGGTTTGCTTCACATTCCATCATGCAAGTCTGTTAAGACAATGACTTATCTTACTTCTTTATGATAGGATCCAAAAACGTTGAATCACACTTTCAACATATTTTATAACATTAGTTAATCTTTAGCATTATCTCTGTTTGTAAAATATTTTGATTTTCCTTACACGAATAACAGTTATCAAAAAAGTTGGTTTATTGTTAGAGCTGAGGAGACTATATCATGCTTAGGGAAGATACATCATGTTAAGGAATGTTTAGGTAAGTTACATTATGCTAAACTGAAACTTCAGGAAAGTTACATTAAGGTTCACTTACATCATGATAGAATATGATACTTAAAGTTAACTTACATCATGATAGAATGCAATAGTTCAACTGAATTTTTATGATGTTAAAACTAGAGGCTTAAAGATGAAAAGCATCAATCTTATATTCATAAGTATATAAGATGAGACTGCTGTTCGATAAACAACGGTTTCTTTTAGAAACAGAATTACCTAGATAAATTCAGTGAAACATATTAAGCTTAATGATAACTAAACTCTTACAAGATGCTATGAACTCTTATGATTCTTTTTGGAGTACAATTGTTTTATCTTTTACAGCATAAATTATCTCCTGATGATGTAAATACTTAGTGTAGACAAGCTCACCTCCAGTCCCAGAAATCCCGGCCGTCCTTTAATTTCTCCCATCGCTATATAGTCTGTACAATTTGTTGGATAAGGTGTTTTTAAATAGTGAGAGGTCGACTGAAATGATGAATTTTAATACAGTGTTAGTTCACATAAAAAACTTTTAACAAAGTCTGTTTGTTTCTCGTAATATCAAAGTTTTTGTTCGAGATTGTTCCAAATTTCTTGTGCATATTATTTAAACTGTATTTTAACACACAATGTGCGTGAGTATATGTAAAAGAAATGCAAATAACATTTAAATTGCCATCTTATATCCTAAACCAGGAACAGAACCTGGTGAGCTAAAGGGGGTATCATTGTTCTAGAACGTACTTCTTATAATTTGTTACACTAATCCAATCTTATAGACACCCAAAGGTTTGCTAATAACACAGGCCTGCTGTGGTTTTATTGTATAGAAATTTTTACATGTTCTACGGTAATTACTGTACGCTGAATCCGAAAATGAGTGAATTTATCTGAATTTCTATACTACGTGCGCATGAAGTTATAACGGCTGTGTGTATCCTGAAGGGTCCTATGTTGCCTGGTTTTGTTTCAACTACCTTCAAATATAGATCGTTAAAGCTATTCTGTATCTTGTGTTTATTTATTTGACCCGATCTTGGAACATAGCTGTATTAAGGTAACATCGTTGATTTAAACCGTTTAAGAATTATATTACATTTACGGAGCAAAGTTAGTTGCTAATTTCTTTTAAATAATTTACAGTTAAGTTTCTTTAATATTCTTGGAAAATCCGGGGTTGTACTGTGTCCTCAAGTACTTTTTGTAAGGTTATGGCAATTGAATATCAATCTGTGCCCTGGTTAGCAGTCTATACAATCACCTAAGTCTAATTATCAATTACTAACTATATTTCTATCGGATATCAATCTGTGCTATAGTTAGCAGTCTATACAATCACCTAAGTCTAATTATTAATTACTAACTATATTTCTGTCGGATATCAATCTGTGCCATGGTTAGCAGTCTATACAATCACCTAAGTCTAATTATCAATTACTAACTATATTTCTATCGGATATCAATCTGTGCTATAGTTAGCAGTCTATACAATCATCTAAGTCTAATTATCAATTACTAACTATATTTCTGTCGGATATCAATCTGTGCCATGGTTAGCAGTCTATACAATTTCTACTTCTGATTATTAACTACTAATTATTTTTATGTGGATATCAATCTGTGCCCTGGTTAGCAGTCTATACAATCACCTAAGTTTAATTATTAATCATAGATATCTTTCTGTTAATGTGACTGGTCTAGTATTCTAGAAAGTACTCATACACATTGAAGTTAAATTAAATCAAAACAAAGCTAAAATTTACTTTTTGTTGGTTGTGTAAAGTGGCCATCAAAAATTGGTGTCATCGTCTCGTTGTTAGTTATTTTTACTTCTGTCAGCTTTTACTAAATAGAGGATCTGGATAAAAAATTCTTTCATCCTTTTGTTATTATGGTCCTGTAACTTACAGTACATCTTAAAATAATAACACAATAGGCCTGACTAAAATTTAACAGGTTTGTTTTTTAGAAAAATAGACAGAAGAAAGTCTGTGTGACTAAAATTTAATTAATTTTATCTTTCAAAACATCAGGCCGAGATATTCTTTGTGCTACAACTTAAACGATCTATAAATTCACAGAATCAGCTGAGATTTTTATCTTGGAACTGGTTTTATTTTTACATTTTGTTTAATGTTTCTGAGAGATTACCCACCATGGTGACAGTGAACTCTGTTTTTGATCCAGGGTAAATAACATATTTTTCTTGCCAGGTATTCGGTGAGCTATCTGGAGGTTGGATCGTTAAAATAGCATTGTTACCATCAACGAACTCCGATTTATCAAGGTAGAAGACGATGTTTAGTTCTGGTCAATTACGAAAACCTTCATTAATAACAACAATAAAAATTTGTTCAAATGCAGCACTTGATATCATTATTAGGGTTATGAATTATCTCACCAGACATTGGCTAAAACTTGCACTTAATGACAACAGGAAGTTATTACCAACTCCTTAAAAACATATTATGTGTTTTATTTTCTCAAAATGTGGGCTCTCACTGTTAAGTAAATATACTTTTTAAAGTGTTTTAAGTTTTTGCTTACAAATCTAAGAAAAATATGCTGATATTTAGAGAATTTGGAGCACCTGAGGTGGAAAATGTAACTACTAAATACAACAGACGTGGTTACTTATAAACTAAATTTACTTACGACGGCTTCTAATATCGCTCATTCCTTCTGAGAAAGCTTTAAGAGGCTCAGTCAGTTGGTTCTTCCACTTAGCATTTACCGTGTAGCAGTTGCCAAACATATTGTCATAGAAATGGTTCCAAGGTCTGGAATGAAATTTAAAAATCCACTGCAGGTGTTGACCGCTTATATCTCTATTTTGAGATTCTGGATTTGATAACAAAGTTACAAAGTATTTTATTGTTGTTATTATTAAACACTGTTTTATACAATGTAAACCACTTCACCCGACACTAAGTTATCCTATTTTATTGTTGTTATTATTAAACACTGTTTTATACAATGTAAACCACTTCACCCGACACTAAGTTATCCTATTTTATTGTTGTTATTATTAAACTCTGTTTTATACAACATTAACCACTTCACCCGACAATACGTTGTCTCATTTTTTTAATGACATAAACTACTTCAACCAACACTTGCTATTATCATTTTAATTTGTTTTCCAGACTTTCGTATTTATGATAATCTGCTGTTTCGAAAGCCAAACGCTTTGTATTGACTTTACTTTAGGTTGTGCAGATTTTTGAAAAATTTAAGACACAAATCATTATGACTCTAGTTTGTCTGTTAGAAATGTGGAAATATACTTTTATAGGTTTCAGAATAACTGTTCAACAAAAGATGATATTATCTAATTAATTATTAAGGTAACAGAATTCAACGTTTTTACATTAGTTTACAATCTTCATTTAAAAAATACTATAATTATTCCAACCTACTTGCAGTTCTCGGTGCCCCATAAAGTACAGTATTTAATAAATTCTTGAAGTTGAAAGCTGCTCTCCACCATTTCGGTATAGTTCCCCGAATTCTGCACTTGTTGTCGAAAGTTGTAAAAACTTCTGTAGATTTCCTGTTAACAACAAAAATGCCTTTAAAGTCTTTAATTCAATTAGAATATTGTAACGTTCACTACTCACACCCTGAATTTTATAAGAAGTTTGTAATTTTATTTTTATTTTAAAATTTTAATTTTATTTAGTGTTATTTCATAGCTAAATGTGTTTCATATTGAAACCATACTAAACCCGAATTCTCCAAACTCTCCTATTTGCCGGTGTCTTGGGAAAGCGCTTGTGTTATAGTGGTTTTAAAAAATCGTGTTTGTTGTGATAGAATAAAAGTAATTTATTCCAAAACACTGTATACTACGTCAGAATAACTGTCTGTGTAGAAATATTATATGTGAAAAACTGCTCTTTGACGTTATTAATTTAATGAGGTTAATCTAAGATGAGGTGGAATTCGAACGTGGGGACTTCTTGCTGGGGATATTTTTCTATTAACTAAACCATCGAGTCTCACATTAATTTAGTTTCATTTCTTTAGAACATGACTGCATACAGAAGCTTTTATTTCTGTAAATTGTACATTAAATTATCATTGAAGAAGTCATAACAGCTAACCATATTTAACGAGGTAGAAGAATATTCAGCCTAAAGAGAATTGTGTTCACTTACATAGTCCAAATAATCCGTTCTATGTCGACAAGTATCTGGCTTTTTTCTACACCAAGGCGAGAGCTTCACGCTGTAAATAAACAAAAACTCAATCCTTTTAGTACAAACAAATATTTTAGCTAATAAACATACAACACTTAAGAAAAAAAAGTTATATCGGAACCAGTTGCTTAAATCTACACTTCATATTTAATATATTCAATTTCATTTTTTACTGTACTAGGTTTCGTAAAGCCTAATGGACCAGGTTATACAAGATAAGCAACACGTGGGGAATCTTACCAAAGACACCATACAGATGCTCAGTAAAAGGAATTTTGAGATATATCAAAACAGTGTTATCATGTTTTTATAGTTTGAGTTTCTTGATTAAAAACATTAACAATAAAAATAAGGCTGAACATTTTATAGGACCAGCTACTTTTCTCAACAAGAGTTAATTGTGTTTTTTTCTCTCTATGTATATATAAAGTGCTTACGGTTGCTGGGGGCAGAGGGTAACTGAAGGAAATAAAAGGTCAAAGGGATGCTTTACGTTGATCGCCACAGATGTTTGATATTTGAGATAAATATCGACAAAGGTGTAACCTTGGTAGACAAACCCAAGAAGACAAGCAAAGAAGACAAGCACCCAAAAAATGTTCCTAAGAGTTGTGATGAAACAGTTCGCCATGGTCACAGTTAGTTGTATTAAAGTCGGCAATGTTTTATCTAAAGCAGTTATAATAAGAGTTCCTAAGTTCTATTGGCTTACTTTTTAAACTGACCAATAACAAAGAAGTGTACGGAAAATTACGCATGTGCATTTTATGTTGTAGTGAACAAACACGAGCATATAACATACTGCTTGCATTCGATACAATCTATTGACTTAATAAAACCGATGATGTATCTTATCATATAACAAGTATTATAACACACAAGCTACTCTCTGTCATATTATTTGTAATTTAATCAGTTCCTGTAATAGTTTTGAAAGGACTAAAAACACATTTCTTTGTTGTATTTGAATAGTATAACATTTATATATAACGATTTATACTTGTCTATTGGATCGATAAGGTTACTTTAACATAATATTTCTTTACATCTGAGTGTAAACTGTATAACGTTATTCACTGATCAATAATCACACACTTCTTCAAATTATTCTGGAAATATATTGAATAGTTGTATGATGTGTTGTGCTTAACGGCACTGGATAATTATATGATGTGTTGTGCTTAACGGCACTGGATAACTGTATGATTTGTTGTGCTTAATGGCACTGGATAATTGTATGATTTGTTGTGCTTAACGGCACTGGATAATTGTATGATTTGTTGTGCTTAACGGCACTGGATAATTATATGATGTGTTGTGCTTAACGGCACTGGATAACTGTATGATTTGTTGTGCTTAACGGCACTGGATAATTATATGATGTGTTGTGCTTAATGGCATTTGATAATTGTATGATTTGTTGTGCTTAACGGCACTGGATAATTGTATGATTTGTTGTGCTTAACGGCACTGGATAACTGTATGATTTGTTGTGCTTAACGGCACTGGATAATTGTATGATGTGTTGTGCTTAACGGCACTGGATAATTATATGATTTGTTGTGCTTAACGGCACTGGGTAATTATATGATTTGTTGTGCTTAAAGACATTGAATAATTGTATATTTTTGTGCTTAAAGGCAGTGAAGTCGCTGTACATTGGTTATTTCAGGGTTCAGAACATGCTGTATATAGTATAATTCAGGGATCAACACACGAGTTGCCGTGTGTTAGTTACGTCAGGGATCAACACACGAGTTTGCCGTGTGTTATTTACTTCAAGGATCAACACACGAGTTGCCGTGTGTTATTTACGTCAGGGATCAGCACACGAGTAGCTGTGTGTTATTTACTTCAAGGATCAACACACGAGTCACCGTGTGTTATTTACTTCAAGGATCAACACACAAGTTGCTATGTGTGTCCAGGTTGGGGGTTCCCATCTTATACAGCTTAAGGGTAGTCTCGATATGAAGTTTGTTAACGAACAGGTTACTCAACACCAAGTGCTCTATATTGTTATTTCAGAACCAACCCTATATTGCTAGCTAAGAGATCAATACGTGAATTTTAGGTTCATGGATCAAGAAGTAGCTGAGTTGTCGTAGTTTAGTATACAACACACGGGTAGTTTATGGATTTTTGTGGAATTATTTACCGTAGTCCGAGTAGAAAAAATGGAAGTTCAATTTTTGCGTGTTAAAGTCTAGTCAATCCGAAAGAGAGAACAAATATTTTGAATATACCCGCTATGAAAATGACTTTAGAAAAAAAACTAATAAATTGCTTAGTATTCATTAAGGGCTTTGTTAATATTCAACTTTTCAAGGGACCGTGTTGACATGATGACGAAGATTTATGTAAAATCTATAACTATATGAAATGCTCAGTAAGCCAATATAAATACAGCGAATTACATTCTAAGAAAGTATCTTAGTATATTCTAGGTAAGGTAATCAATTGTTGGAATACTTTTCGAGAGTACAATCCTGTAGAGTAACATATAATGAAAACGAATTGAACATGTGTAATTACAAAACTGATATTAGACGCATCTTTAGTTCTCACGTTTTTATACATAATTGATAGTTGGCACGTTTAAAGACTGGAACCTTTTTGTAAATGGGTGGGAATTATGAAGAAACAAGTGTGTGTGGAACAGTATTAAACAGTAAAAAAAATACCTTTTTATATTCGTTATAAAAATCGAAAATATAAGGATGAAAATAAACACGTTCGTTAAAAAAACGAAAAGTATTTACTTTTGTTAACATTTTGATAGTAATGATAATCATATTTGTAGAGCACGGTGCAAATTGTTTCACTGTAACTTTCCAAGTTATCTTATATACACTCCAAACTTGTCAATATTTAGTTACTTAAATAATAAACCTTACACTTATCTTATATACACTCCAAACTTGTCAATATTTAGTTACTTAAATAATAAACCTTACACCAACTGAACAACTATCGAGGTTAATTTTACTTTAACAAAGTTGATTCATAAACCCATAAAACTATTTCCCACTGTTTTATGTACGTATCAGTCATTAGAATTATATTGTATTTAATATGTTTATCATATGGTAACTTACCTAGATATTCTATAGTTCATAATGAACTAGTATTACAGATTATTCTTCAGTAGCTTTTATAAGTTGGAGGCTCTAAAAAATAACACAAAACTTAAAACATCAATATTGTTTTTACTTTGTTTTAAAATCTATAACACATATAGTGTATGCGTATGTGTGTGCTTTTTCTTATTTATGCAAATTAATACTGAGTAATGAATATAGAGAAATATCAAAATATATTATATATGTTTATAAAATTACTAGTATAAGTTATTAGGCCTATATTGGTTTTCTAAATGTATATTGCGTCAACATATGGTTAATCTCTTTCCACCATATAACTGAAATAATATGAAATCCATTAAGACCAATAACCTTAACCACTTCTAAAAACAATTCTGTTTAATCTCCACTGAGTCCAAGACAAATTAGTTTACACTAAGACCGACACACCTTGATCTCCATTACTAACGACACACCTTGACCACCATTAATAACGATACACCTTGACCACCATTAATAACGATACACCTTGACCACCAT